CTAGTTTATTATCCAAATCATTTGAATTTTCTAATTTCTTATTTATTTTTTTCTGTAACATCATGAATCCAAAAAATATTTTAAAGCTTTTAACAATAGCCTTTGATCAACCTCAATATAATTTAGAATCTATTATAAATGAAGATGAAAAGGCTTTCAGCTTTCAAATAGAAAGTTTTATTAAAAATGCAATTCAAGATTCTCTATTTGTAGAAACATACTCTGCCCTTTCTTTTGAAAATAAAAATACTATTCCGGAATCTATTTCAATTGAAAATGATGGCGATAATTTTAATATCGATGAGAATTTTTATTTCTGTGCAACTCCAAATGAAGAAATAGATAAGAGTACAAAAGAAAAGTTATAAACTTTTGGAATTCAGAGATAAAAAAGAAATTAAAATTTGAAACAGTGCAACAAAGGTTTAGACAATTGAAATCCAAGCGACAGTTATATCGATGGGAAGAACAAATCATGAATGACGGATCCCGATATAATAAATTAAAAAAAATTTCTGAATATGTTTTGACTCACACAATTTCAAGAAGCTGTAGGAAAGTCTTTGACAGTTCACGACATAGACATTCGCAGATGGGCTTTAAAAGCGCGAGATGACGTCTGTTTGTCGTCAAATCTATTTACAGCTTCTACAAAATGAATTCATGAATTCAAGCGAAACCATAGAATTATTTCTAGAAAAATAAATAAATTTGTAACACAAAAAACATTGACTAATAAAGATAAACTTAAAGAACAAGCATTGACATTTGTACAAGATAAAAAGAAAAAATTTTAATAGTTGGAGAAAACAATGTTTGGAATTCTGATCAATCAGGTTTCAATTTAGAAATGTATATCGGACGTACTTTATCATTTAAAGGAGAATTAAAAGTTGAAGCACTGACTCAATCTATAAATTCGATGACTCACAGTTACACGATTCAGTCTATTATTTCTGCAAGTGGTGTTTTAGTATCGCCCTTATTAATTGTACTGCAAGGGACAGATGGAAAATTTGGACCGCGAATACAAAAAAATTTGTTTAAGGCTGAAAATGTACTTGTATTCACTTCAAATTCAGGTAAATTAACATCCGCTCTTGTAAAAACATGGTTCCAGGAAGTGTTTCTCCCATCATCCAGTGATAAAAGTGTGTTGCTATTGGACTCGCGGAGTGGTCAAAATTCAAAATTATTTGAATCATTTCCAAAATCAAAAAAATTGATCCAAATTGAAAACATTCCTGCAGGTACAACAGGAATGATACAACCGCTTGATGTATTCTTCTTCAGATCTTGGAAAAATTTTATCAGATATTTTTCGGGCACAGTTGTTTTATACAATCATGACATAAATTTGCATCACCGTAATAATATTATCAAGCTCCAATCACTAATCCATATCCAGTTTTCTTCCCCTCGATTTAAAAATCTTATTAAATACGCTTGGTATAAAAGTGGTTACATATCGGAAAAACTTCCTGAATTTGATAATCCTTGTGGCGGTCTATTTGACACCACATACATATTTCGAACAACTCGAACGAAGCAAACTTCATGCGGATGCATTTGTTTCCAAGACCTACTTGAAGTGATTCGGAAAAAATTAATTTCTCAAGAAATTAATAGAAGGCGCATTTCGGCAGATCTTCTCGTATTCTGAAAAACTCTGAACGGCTATATAAAGGCATGACCAACGGCTTGATTTCGTCTTTTGCAACATACTGCAAGAGTACCATCCTTTTTGTGGTGTAACCGTGGAGCCTGTCTCTCGTC